TTTTCATAGATGGGATTATCATTGTGGCCCACAATAACAAAGTAGTAGGTGGACATTTTCACGAAACAAAAACAGTGAGATTTGCAGTGTGACCGAACTAGAAAATGTAATTCTTTTAAAATATACTACAAACGAGCAATTATGACCGTTTCACACTTTAAATTATGTGTATTGTTTGGTTTTTTCATAAACTGTCATATTCTTAAAAATTCACAAGATAATCAATTTAGGAATACATATTTGATTCCGATTTTGTTCTGACATCACTGTTTTATAACATAAAAGCAAATATTACCAAATATTTAGTAAGAATACCTCACTCCAACAAAAAATCACCTATCGCCTGGCCAAACAGTGCTGGAAAATACCACCCCCTGTTAACCCTTATCAACACCGACTCTTCGCGCCTTTTTTCCCTCGGCACATTGTGCTTACAATTTTTGCACCGAAAAACTCGGTTAAAATGACTATAATCGACTGAATTGGACACCGGATTAATAGTAACCCATTGGGGCCCGAGTACCGTTAGAAAGGGGAGCGTGACCAACGCGACGCCAGTGCGATCGCGGCAGTGTGTGTGCGTGTGCGGGAGTGTAACAAATACGAAAGACGAAAAATCGCTACGAAGGTAGATCAGATCTCATTATTATTGTATTGTTGTCTTTTGCTTTCGCCCCCACCGATCTTCAGTTGCGACCTTATGAGTTTGGCTTTCGTATAATCCCTAGATTTCCATCGCTTAAGTACTTAGATCTTACAAAAGAAAACTACACCATACACAAACACACGCACACACTCAGCAGTATGCATTAAACAAAAAGTAATAAAAAACAAAAACCAAAAGACACCCAATAAAATGACCGATGTAAATTGTCTTACAAGTGAGCACATTGCAACCGCCACCACTGCGAGTCCACCGGGAACTCCCGCCAAAAATGCTTGCAAGGATCTCGACGAACCCACCTCGCCGTTCGTTTTGAGAGCACCGCCCAGCGCCAAGTCCAAACTGATCCTTCAGAATATGGAGGAGGTGCTCCACTCGGTGAAGCAGAAGCACCGGGAGAAGCACAAGCGGAAAAGAGAGGAGAAACGCCGTGCTGCCCTCTTGGAGGACCAGAAGAAATCCTCCCAGGAGGCCGGTAGGCCGGAAAAAGAGAAACCCCAGCCGCTGCGGGAGAAATCCTCTCAAGAAAATGGCCTTAAGAATGGCCGGCGGCGTTCCAGTCCGCTCAAGTCTAGCACTCCGGTGGCCGACAACCAGAGCATCATGAAGCACTTCGCCAAGGCGGGCAAGCCGGAGAATCTGGCTGCTTCACCGGTGAACACCGCTAAAGCCAAACCAGCCACCAATGTTTTTGAGTTCATGATGAATGCCCGCAATCGTTCCATAGGAGTTAACGAAGGTGGCGCCGAATCCCCAGCGGATCCAGAGGTGGCCAGTGAAGCAGCCACGCCAACGACGAAGCGGAAGCTGCTCCTCCAAGAGTGGAACGAACGAAAGGGTGGAGCCAAGAGAAGACTGGCGGATGAGTCTCGCGGGGAGTACATCGAAGTGCAGATGGAGCAAAGGGCCAAGAGGTGAGTGGGGAACAGTTTGAGATATACATTTAAATACACTAGAAGTTCCTATTAGATTCTGAACATATATTAATAAATTACTCTCCTAGATTGAGGAAAATGTTGACCAAGACTGACCAGAAGGAGGTGACGGCACCTTCCTCAGCGCCCACAGATTCAACAGTCAAGCGAACCAGAGGTCGGCCCCGCTCCCGACGCCTCAGTTCCGTGGATGCGCAGCCTCAGGTCGTCGTGGAAGCCAAATCCCAAAATCCCGAGACAGAGGAGTTCCTCTCGAAGCTTTCGTCGCCAACGAAAAAGCGTGACAGTCTGCTTGGTTACTTTGCCAAAGTGGAGTCGCCCAAGGAGCTGACTGAAAAGGTTACCATTGCGATAGAAACTCCACCCATGGAAACGCCCAAGCGAAGAACGCAACGAAGAAAGAGCCAGGCAGAGACACCCATCATAGAAGCAGAATTCACTCCTTCGTCGCGACCAAGACGCTCCTGTGCGGGAAAGGCGCGCTACGACTACGACCTGGAAACGAGTCCTGTCAAGCAACAAAAGGCCAAGTTGCAAAAGGCAGAGGAGTCCATTGAGGTTATCGATCTGGACAGCAGTAGTGCAGCTGCCACGCCAAAGAAACTAGCTCCGCTATTTGTCCGTCAATTGCCAAAGCCCAGTCCGGATCCTTCGGTTCTGAAAGCTCGACAGGCTTTTCTGCAATCCGGTGTGCCTGATAAAATTCGGCAGGAACTAAACCGTCAAAAGAACTATGAGCAGATGTACGAGGAGAGCTATGAGGTTTTCCCCAGATTGGCGCATATAGGTTGCGAAAGCTTTGCCTCTTCAAATGAACCTTTGCAGCTGCCCTTTGCTTTGAGATCAGAAGAGGAGTATATAGAGGTTGCCACTACCTTACCCTTTAACAAGCGACGTTCCAAAACGAGTAGCATCACCAGCTGCCTGCCCGCGGACTTTACGTCTAGCAAAAGTTTTAACAAGTTCAACTACGCTACTTTGCCCCAGCTTGAAAACAAGCGCGGCTTTGTTAAGCTCTGGAAGAACGACTTCGATCGCTTTCCCACATTCAAGTGCTACAATCAGATGAGGGAGAAGTATCGCCATTTTAGCGCCATTGACAGTGCGCAGGATACGCAACAAATGGGCGAATCCTTGGTGGTTACGCGGCGCACCCGCCGCTCCATGGAGCAGAACATGGCCCAGACTGATGAGGAGGCTAAGCCACCACCCTCGGCTCCCAATGGAGAGCTACTTTTCACCGAAAAGTACAAACCGCTGCTGTTCGAGCAGGTTCTAGTGAATCTAACGCCCGTGCAGGAGCTCAAGGAATTTCTGTCTGCCTGGAGTGGCAATGGTGGCAGCAATCGCAATTCGCAGGGCATGGACGACACCTTCGACATGAGCAACGATTCGGCATCCATGGGTGCAAATAGCAACACAATGGTGCTGGTGGGACCTTCGTCCAGTGGCAAAACCAATGCAGTCTTCACTTTAGCCAACGACATGAACTTTAATGTTCTGGAGATAAATGCAGGAATGAAGCGTACGGGTAAGAAACTGATACAAGAACTCCAGGAGGCCACGCAGTCGCATCAGATAAGGAAGGACAGCAAAACGGGCGGAGGATCCTCGCAGCAGTTGCTCCAAAAGTTGCAAAAGAGTGGTTTAAAGGCAAAAGCAGCCGCCGTTGAACCCCCATCCGAAGTGCGCAAGTCTCTGATACTTATAGAAGATGCGGATATCCTTTTCGATAACTTGGATGCTGGTTTTACGGATGCAATTTACACGTTGGCCGCCAGTTCAAAGAGGCCCGTAATTGTAGTGGCCACGGATCCAAATTGCGCGCATCTGCAGCGTCTTATGCAGCAGAATGTGGTCCACTTCCAGCCTCCGAATGCGTTGAACATCTCCCGATTCCTAGCTGTCCTATCGCTGATGGAAAACTGTCCTATCGAGCTGGATGAATTGATATCCCTGTATCTGTACAATCAGCAGAATCTGCGCAAGACGTTAATGGAACTGCAGTTTTACATTCAGAGTGGTGGAGATCCAAGTAGCGGCAAGCCGGGTAGCATTAAGTCGCCCACCAAATCCTCACATAGCCGACTAGCCACCGTCGATGGCAGTCGCATCCATCAGCGATTCTTTGAGTTCTTTACAAGCCCACAAAATATCCAGCACAGGATACCCTTTCCCTTGGACTTTAACCTGCTGCGTTTAAATCTCACCGAGCTGATGTCTAGTTCCCCGCTGCTCAAAGAACAGCCACCAGGCGGCGGAAGTAGAAACACTGCCAAGCGAAAGTCGCGCTCTCCAAAGAAAGCCTGGCTAAGCAGCGCCACTGGGCAAAAGAACGATGGCTATAGTTCTTCCCTCGCCACGCTGGCCTCCTTCTATGACAACATTTCGATGGCTGCTCTGATGGAGTCCGATTGCAGTGATCGCTTGCAGTGGCACCTGTCCGAGGACATCGCGCACCTGCTGGTGGAGCAGGCTCTCCAAACTGGACTCGCGGCCAAGGAGTGTCCCTACAACCTATTCGACAAGCCAGCTCACAGGTAATATGATTGAAAAATATAAATAACTCTTTATTGGATCCAAAGATAGAAAGAAACATTTTTATTAAGGCAGTAATCTAAGAAAAAGCAAGTTATACACGATTGAAAAAAAATGCTGACTGATACTAGTGCTTCTTTTTGATTAGCCAGTTATCTAGGTATATAGCTGTCATAGAATTAAACGATGGAAAAAGGAAATCGGGGTTTTTTTTATCGCCTGGCTGGAGTAATACCGACCAGTCACCAGATAATTTAAGCATTCCATAATTTAATAGCAATGTCATACATATGACCGATCATTTCTGTCCCAAAAGCACTATCATACATTAAGTTATTCCCCAGAATGTTTAGTAATCAAAAAAACCCAAAATGTTGAGTGTTTGTGCTAAGACTTAAGCTTTCAAGTACTTGAAATAGCTTTAGGTAGTATTTTTAAGAAAAGACCTTCAATAACTTGATTACGGGAGTTGTCACAGAAATCTCTTCCAACCAATGACTAACAGATGTTTATTTCCTATATATTTTCCTAAAATAGTTATCTAAATACTAATCATTTTCTCTTTTAACCTTGATTAGAGTAACAATTTGCGAGCACCTGGGCAATGGAGTAATGCGCTCCGCCTCCGCCAAATCGCTGGACTTTGAACCGACTCTGCGTTCCATCTGCCGCAGTGAAAAGGAAAGGGCAGGACAGGAACGGAAATCGAGTAGATTCTATCACTACCTGCGGAACCACACGGTGAACGTAACCAGTTTCACGATGGAGTACTTCGACGCCGCCTGTAGTAGTTTCCAAACGATCCCCAACAGCGAACCACCGACGGAAGCCGAGCCAAAGGATTAGCTAGGGATGCGACATAGTTTAATTTTCTCAATATGGTGGAGCAGCTCCACCAGATTTATTTGCAATTTATTCAGATCGAGGTAAGAAGAGTTGATCTTTTTAGGATAGTTTTGTGGGCACGATGATGTTGCGTAGCTATTATGAGATATACCTAGAACTAGTTACAAGTTAATTACGCTAAATTAATTACGACCTGATCCTATGTTAATAAATCAATTAAATGACATGTGAAAAACGATGACTAGCAGCAGCAGAAGCCGGAAGAGCTTTTCTCCGCCGGCTTGGGATCTTCTGATATTGTGTTTTCCGCCGGTTTCGATGCAGCAATGGAAGTGGGCTGAATTTGAATGGGTGCAGCAGAGTTAATTTCTCCGATTTTGTAGTTTTTTAGTTCCTTTTCGGCATCGGCGGAGTGTCCCGCTTGCTTGAAGGCCTTGGTGGCATCCTTGCCGCCATATTCGAGGAGTACATCGCCACCGCCAGGATGTTCGCTGAGGAACTTGGTCACATCGTAGACGTTTCCCTTGATGATCAGCCAGCAGGGTTTGCCGTTCTTGCCATTCTGCACGGCCACCTCGGAGAGTTCGTACAACTGTGACATAATTGAATTGATTGCTTGATTGTTTTCCGGTGTAGAAGAGTGTTTTTTATGGCTGCACTAATTTTGGCGAAGGCGGTTTAATAAATTGCACTCTTGATTTGCTAATTTTAGGAGCTGTTAACCGTTGGACGGACTGGTGAACACTGGAAGCGTGCCACTGGCCAACCCTTGTTTATGTTTAACATTTATCAATATGGCAAAATATCGCTTAGATCGCTTGTACTTGCCCTGTTTTTACCTCACTTTTTCCTCCTCGACAATCAATTACTATTTGCGGTTTTATTTTCACAATCTGTCTGACTTGCGGCTGATAAGAAGTACGTGATAATTTCGCCGTCTTCCAAGGCAACTTACTAAGTTAGGCCATGTCCAATAACATTCGGGAATTTGTGCAAATCATTAATGCAAATTGATTGAGCATGTTGGCATGGAGTGGTTTTCTATCTTTGGCGAAATCTATATTAAATTCGTGAATCAGTAGAATATGAGTTGGGAAATTTTTCATTGATATCTGGGTAGTAATGGGAGTTATTTATGACTCGAGTCCATCAACTTTTTTGGTGACAATTGACTGCGTGATTCATTAAAGGAGCGGTTCATATTATCAGTCAAAACTAAGCTGCGATAAGGTCTGATAATTGTCAATTAAAACGCAAACCATTTTCCCCGTTGATAACCAACTTTTCCTCTTAAAAGAAACACTGTATTTTGATATTTTTGGCTTTCAAAGTTATATTCTATATATTTTGGAAATATATTTTAAATTTGCTTTCATTTTTCCCATTTTCGTTTTCGGTTTTAAGGGCTTTTGGTTTTTTTTTTATATGAGACAACAACAATAATTGGTATTCATTTAATATATATGTATTTAGATATATATCGATTTTTATATAGATTTATGTATCTTAGACGTTTTGCTTAATGCGCTTTAAAAAATTTCGCTAGTGTTGTATGCAACTTTTGCCTGCGGGGGATCGAAAAGCAAATTCGATTTTTTGGGGGAGTGGGAGATTTTGATCTCGGATGGGTTGGAAATCTTGGGGGACTGTTGGGAGTAGGTCTGTTTACATTAACATAATGCTCCTCTCCGCATTGTCCTGCATTCGGTGTATTTACAAATTAATCTCTTTACCTTTCCTTGAAATTTACTTTATTTACTTTTACCTTGTTATAAATATCAGTCGACGGTTTTGCATTTTCAAAACGCAGCTCGTGTGCGCTTTCATTTGTATTCTCGATCTAAATGTACAGATACCATATCGTAATATGTATATATCGTAAATATAAAGTGTAAAATTAATTACTTGTCAATGATTGTTGATTTGTTGAATTTATCGATCTGCTTGAATTTTAAAAAATTGTAATTCAATCAATAAATTTACTATAATTTAATCGATTTGTTTTTTCATTTGATTTACTTAGTTTCCGTTTAGTTTTTGCTAAACATAATTCGTAGACTTGATCTTCGTTTAGAATTTAATTGTTTAATTTAAAAAACAGTTTTGGAGGTAGTTGAAATTAGGCCTGTTTACGTAAATTATATTTATGTATGTATATAATTATTTGTATAATGTGTATATATGTGTAGCTGATTTAACGATCCGACGAACGTGATCGCATCGATATTTTAGCTGGACTTAATTTGTTTATAACTAATTAATTAATTAAATTCTACGGGTTTAATTTAGTTATTCATTGTCTCCAGTTTTCTCTTCGGTCTGTGATATTTCGGGCTATTTCCGGTTGCATTACTTTAAGTATTCTTTGATCCATAGACATCGAACTATATTGTTATGTATTTAAAATGTAGGCTTGTAGGACTTTGTTGGCGTAGTAAAGTGTTTTCCTTTATTTTGCATTTGTTATCATATTTTCCTAGTTTTTCGCGTTCGATTTTTCGTCTAAATTGTTGGTTAAATGTGGTTTAAATTTGATTTAATGGATCGTAAGTTCGTGAAACCATTTTTTGTTTTTCTTCTCATTGATAATTTAAATATTAATTATTAAGGGGCAACAATGTGTTGGGCTGTCTGGAAGTGACACTTTGGAATTTCAAAAATAAGAGATTATACACAAAAAAGGGCGACGACTTAAAAATTGTTATAATTACCAAAATGTTCTAAGTTGTTAAATTGTGCTTATAATTTACATTGCAGTGGGATTACTCGTTAATTAATTTATATTCCTAAATTAAACACCCAAAATTAAATGCTATTCTCCTTTTGAAAAAACCGACAAGGTCTTTTGGTGCTGCCACTCGCGGCAACGTTCGATCAGAGTTGCCATTCAGTAAGCACGATCGACCAAAGTTGCCAGATTACGTTTGGCTATCGATAAAATCTATATGATCGATCGAATTTCAAATTTGAATCCCGCTGAAAATCCAAAATGAGAAGCAGCATTAGCCAAATAAAAATGAAAACAAAAATTTCTCTACAAATTGGTTTACATAGATTTCATTTCATTTTTTGTTTTTTTTTTACATTGTAATTCCGTTAGCAAATATACAAATACGAATTTCAATTGAACTAAAAATTGTTTGTGTGTTTTTCGTGTGTTCCAGCACATGGGACAAGCGTATAATAATAATAATAATAGGGGATATGGGATATGGATAGGGGTTGGGATAGAGTATAGTTAAGAGTTGGTTGGCTTCGATTTAAAACTAGAGTTATTCAAACTAAAGTGTATACAATATTCATTCATAAAATTACAATTACATATTCACTTATATTTTGTTATTTACTTTCCTCTTTCCCTTCTTCAAGTTTAATGGTATTGTGTCTGTCTCTTTCAAGTTTGTTGCTTTCTTCGTTTTTTACAAAAGATTTTCGTTTCCTTACGTTTAGCAAGCGACGAATGGAAATCATGTTACAGAACTAAAAAAAACCTTCTATGGTCTGTGGTGAGTGCTTAAAAGGCGGCAGCGCAGCTATATGTCTTCACGATTTATCATTCTCTAGCTTTCCTTCTCTCTTGTTACTCAAATTTACAAATTAAATTCTGACTAATAAACAGTCTTTTCGTACCAGCGCAAAAGTTGGCGACAGACCTACATAAAATAAATCTGTTAAACTTTAACATAATAGATAAACATAGGCTAACATAAAAAAAATATATGCGTATATATACGTAGATATATATATATTGGAGGTGCTGCACAAAACTCTGGAGATGTGACAACACTAGTTGAAAAATCCTTGTTTTCCCCTTACAAAAATCTTTTAAAAATATTTTATCATTGCGATAAAACACCTTTAAGATTCTTGCGCAGAGCAAATCATCTAGTGGACCCTTTTAACCTAACTAATGCTCTTCAATCTCCAGAGGTTTCTGCACCACCGCCGATATTTTAATGTAGTTAAACTTAACACGAGCTCAGTTATGAGTTGGCCGCACAGTGGCTGCAATTCCGGCTATTGCAGCTGCAGTGGCAGCTCATCATGCTAGAGTTGGAATTATTGCGGCTCATCGTGGTCAGCGGGAGATCCCCCGTCGCTCCGGTGGCAAAGGAAGACTGAGTGGTGGCTGTTGTTGTGCTTGTCTCGACGGCGGGTAGGCTGGCGGTGCTGCTGCTACTCCCGCTGCTGCTGCTGCTCCTCAGTGGCTGCAGACCAGCTCCAATGGGCACGGAGACGGACAGCGGCGGTGTGGGTATCCTTTCGGGGCTGCAATTGCCGCTCGTTCCGGTACCCAGGCTGGTCAGCAGTTGCGTGCTCGGTCCCAATCCCGCGTAGATATGCGTCCCACTGGGATTCGTCCCATAGCCACAGGCTGTGCTCTTCAGCAGCGATGCATTGGACACCGGCAGCGTGGGCAACGGCACAGCAGCCAGCGAGGAGGCCGACGACGAGGTGGACACACAGGCGGAGGAGGCGAGCGAGGAGGCAGACGACGACATGGAGACGGAGGATGGAGGGGATGCAGTGGCCATCGAGGACATCGTACAGCTCGGCGGCGACTTTGGCGAACTGATCCGCGAGAAGAACTTGGTTATGGCATTCGGCTTGGACTTGCTGGACGATGAGGAGGCGGACACTGACACGCCACTGGGCGTGTATGTGGAGGAGGCGGCCTGGAGCGTGGTGAGACGGTAGCTGGAACTGGAGACGCCACAGCCGCCCGCCGAGATCTGCTCGGGCACATCCCGCACCGTCTTGTTGGGCGGCGGTTTCGTGTACGATCTGGTGATCTCCGATTGCTGTTAGGCATGAAAACATAAACGTTAGTAAGGGAAGTTGGCTATAAAGCTGTCGTAGAAACCCACCTGATAGCTGCTCCTGATCTGCAGGTGGCGATCCTGTCCGTACTCGCTGTCCGGCAGTGGTACGTGATGGGGACAGCGGGGCGTCTGCTGCTGCTGCAGCTGGTACTGGTAATGTTGGTGGTGGTCGTTGCTGTGGCTCTGGAGCGAACTGCACGACGATCCGGATGAGGAGTTGCCGCAGTCGCCCTTGTAGCAACCGCTCCCGCTGCCCGTGTTGCCGTACTTGAGGGTGGTGGCCTCAATGCCGCCTCGCGCCACATTACTGCTAATACTATAGTTGTTGTTGCTGCTACTGCTCAGCTGGTGATGGTGATGGTCACCGCCTGCTCCTCCTCCTCCTGCGCCGCCGCCGCCGCCGCCGCCGGAGTTGTGCGTGCTTGGAGTTGTCATGCGTTGTTGCTGGTGGTGGGAATGTTGTTGCTTGTTGCTGCTGCTGATGCTGCTGTGATGGAGATGATGTTGCTGCTGATTGTTTCCGGCGCCACGAATCACAGTCTCGCCACGTACAGCCAGGAGCTCACGTGCTTGTAGCGCATCCACGCGCATTCTACATCTAAATTGATCCCTAAAACAGAAGGAAACATAAATTAGTAATGTTTAGAATACAAAAAATCGTATATTATCTTACCTATCATCGGGTGGTGAGCTTAAAGATGTGCGGGTCGGAACGCCGAGCCGCTCCATTCCCGCGCAGCCGGCCGTCTGTACCGATAGCATCTGCAAAAGAAAAACTTCAATTAGTATGCAGTCATGTTAGGGGCTTAATAGTATAATCTTAGAAGAGACCTAAAAGTTCTGTCCATCAGCCTCCCCCAGCTCATCCTGACAGCTCTCCACCTCACTAAAGGTCTGAAAGCGCTCCAGCATGAGCCATCTCTTGGCCACCCGGCGAATACACAATTCCCAATCGTCATCGTACTCCAGACCCTCGTAGAAGTCAATACGAATTTCCATTTCCTTTAAGTTATTCGGTTTCAGGGGCTTGAATTTCAGGTTACCCGTGTAATGAAGATTACTGCGCAAAACAAACGGCTGCTCTACAAAAAGTACGGTTTGCAACCAAAGCGATTTGTAGGGTGTCTTACAGCAGGGATTGCAGCTCATCTTGAATTGTGAACTACTGAACTGCACTTCGAAAAAGAGGAGAAAGCACTCGAGAAAACCCTCTTTCTTGACCTTTAATCTTATTTTTCGGTCTATAAAGAGATCTTCTTTCTTGGCTTTATTCAAATCTAGGCTTAAAATCCCATGAGCCAGGGTGAGAATTTTTTCTCCGCTTGTTTTGGCATAACGAGGTTCAGCCAGGGAATATCGACGCATGGCATTCATATTAAATCCGTAGATGTCCCGCCACCAGTTGCAGCGATCGTTCTTCAGGTTGTGTTCCTCGGATGCAACGATATATAGCGAACCCATATCGGGTAGGATAAATCCGCCCTTTTTTAGCCAGCGATCTCTGGCTTCGAGCACCTCCAATATCTCCGATTCGAAGAGCAAGCAATGACCCATCCAGGTGCATACTATGCCATCGACTTTCTCCGGTAATTGTAAATCCTTCATGTGTCCATGTAAAACCTTTATGACGTTTTCCTGGCAATTATGGCGCACCACCAACTCAGCATAGCCGGTGACCTTAGAATAATCCACGGCATAGACCCTTCTGGCTCCCAATTGGGCTGACATTAGGGCCAGGGTCCCAGTTCCGCAGGATAGAACCAGGATTACGCGACCCTTAAAGAGGTTCCTGTTCTGATGCATAACAGTTTTGAAGAATTGCATGTGATATTGCCCCTGCTGCCGGAATCGCATGTTCTTCAGATCTGCGCCGTAATCATAGCGAAAATCCGCAGATGTCATGAGATCCACTTCCTTTAGTTCCTGGGGCACATATCTTGGAGGCGTGGCAATTCGGGGACAGGATCGTACTTGCGTCGTGGGGCGACCTCGAGAAGCATCCTGGGGATTTGCTCTTCTCAGTAAAGTTATTTCGCCATCTCTGGGTTTTCCAGCTCTATTTGGTTTATCTGGGTTTTTATGAAGACCATTGGGCTTCCGATCCTCCAATTTTCCTTTAGTTTTCCTTGTTTCTGCCGGGTTACTCGTGGTTTTGGGAACATCACCATTTGATTTAATTGCATTCTGAACTGTTGTATCCCCCAAATATTTGGGAACTACTTGAAGCTTTTCACAACAAACTCCACGTCCACGAGTTCCACCGATAATTCCAGAACTTTTCCATTTATTCGTGTTCATCTTTTCGCCATTCTTTTGTGTAACTTGTTTATCTAGCTGATTATGGAAATCGGCCAGACTCAGTTTTTCGGGTTTCTTGGGAGCATTAGTTGCCTTATTCCCCGTTTTGAGTGCTTTTTTATTCTTCTTCCCAGTCATTGCGGTAAATTAAGAGCAAATATGCTCAATAAGTTCTCAAGTTAAAAGATGGAAAGGTACAGAGTGGAAGATTAAGAGAACGAGGGATAAGGTGGCGCAGAAGAAAAAGTTTGTGACGTCAAAAGAATAAACCTTAGATGTCCAATTTTGTCGATAAAAGCTTTGTTAAAACAATTCAACCTTTTGGAGACACCCAGAAATGTTTTTAAAAAATAATCCAATTGTTATCCCATTTTAATTTCAAAAATTCTATATATTTTGAATATTTTGCATTGTAAAATAAATCTTAATTAAACTTTTACCACCTTTTTTTCTTGAACCATTTGTTGAAAGCGAATGCGATACATCGATAATCATAGTATGACCAACTTCTTTTGATCGCTTGATTTTTAAATAGTGTTGGAAAGGGTGGTTTCGGGTTTGAAATTCTATTTGCTTTCGGTTAAGTTTTAAAATGAATAGAGTTTATGTTCTTACATTTTATTTTATTTTATGCGCTTATGATTTTCGTAATATTCAGTAATGTTTTAAAGTCCCCAATCTTCTGAAACCTGAAATCTACTTTATTTTTACACACCGATTATTCTCTACACAGGCGATTCGCATAACTCAACATGTTCCACATTCCGTTGGCCACCTTTTTCTATGTTTTTAGTATTACTTTTTTTGTGTGTCCTAAGCCCCCAGTGCCCCACCACACCACCTGGCGATTGATGTGTGCAAGCGAGCATGAAAGAAATGACAAATCTCTGCGCGAACAACAACAAATAATAGAGCACGAATATTTTGGGCGACGGCGGACTTTGTAAATTATACAAATATGCAAATGCAATTTTGTAAATTATAAACTCGTGAAACTATGTGGTCAGAGCTCTCTGTGTGTAAGCATGTTTCTTATAATTTGATTGTACAAGCCAATTTATTTAACTTGAATTTATTGTGAAATAGTACATCATTTTAATTTGTAGCTTCTGGTTTTTCTTCAAACCGAATGGATTACACTCTTTATAAGGAGCATTGGAAGAAGAAAACAGTAATACTGCAGACTTTAATTAAATATTTTCTTTTTTTAAGTATGGATATAATTTAGTCTCCGTTCTCTAGAAAAGAAAACCATTTGTACTAGGTACAAATATTATTACCATTCCCTATAAGGTTGGTACAAGCTAACTTTAACACCATTACATTTAATGGTAAACTATTATTTCTCAGTAAAAAAAATAATTACCATTTTAGGTCCATCTATAAACTTGGTGCGAATAACCTTAAACAACTTTAATGGGTCACGATGCTTGTAGTTTCTCTCGGTGCAAAAATGATTACCATTTTAAATACTCGTTAAAAACTTTCCCAAATTAGATATGATACAAATTGTAAAAAACGTTTTTAACTTGAAAAGTTTTCGTAAGGGGTTTGATTCAGCAAAACACAACATTTTATAATGATATCTGAACTTTGGGGTTCCTTAAATGATATAGCAGATGCGTTGTTTGCATTATGGGACGTTAGAGATTGTTTTTGCATTCTTTTCCTTCTTTTTTGGGTAATCCGAGGCACCAGAAAATATCGCATCACATTGTCTGGGGCGTCTCCGCTGGCAAACACACATATAGCCCCCGGAACGTCCCGCTCCCAGGGCGAAAAAATTAGGTTAAAATGTTTACTCGAGCATTGCAGACGGGATTGGCAATAACCTCATTTTCCGTTTGTGCACTGGTGTGCGTGTGTGTGTGGGCCAGACTCTCTGACGTAAGAGAAATGTCTGCCATTGTTTTTGTTTTTGTTGGCCTAAGCCCAGCCATAAGTTAACATGCTTTCCCCGACCCGACTGCTCTGCATCTGTCGCTTGTTGTTGTTTATCTTTTTGGTGCTTTTATTTTTGCGAATAAAGTGACATAATATTGAGGGTAAACCCTTGTTTCTGTTCTTTGCCCGCTTCTGTTTGCTTTTGGCCTTGTTCGAATCCTTGAAAGTTTCCGACTTTCTCCGTGTTTGTTTAGGCCAACTCAAAATTTGCAACTATACGACGTTAAAGATATGCTTTTTAACCACAAATGTGCAATGCAAAATGTGCATATATTGTTATAAAATTTGGTAATCCTAGAGAATTGGTTTTAAAACTGATAGAATTAAATTATATATACAAATTTATTTATTTTTTTTAAATTGAAAGAATGAAATATTAAGAAGGTCTATAAAAAAATTATTTTAATTTAATGTAATTGATAAGAAAAAATTCTAAAAAGTATTATTTTTATATATCCGATACCATACTACGAAAAAGTATGATAACAAGTTCGTATTATTAGGAATTTTTCCGATATAACAAAGATATAAATAATATTTGGTATTAACCAGGGTTTTTCCATTCTAGTGATAGAATGAAGTTTTCGAGGCCGCCAAAAATTCCGAAACAGGAACAGCTGTGTGTGTGTGTGCGCTCTCTTACTCTCTCTCTCTGGCTGTATGTAATTGTAATTAATTTATGCACGTCTGCGTCTGGTGCGTGCGTCTGGCATAGATAACGGTTTTAATGAAAGCCCGCTCCGCTCTCACACATCCACATACACATCCTAATGCTGTTAATGTTAACGCCTACGGGGCGTATGTGTGTGTGTGTGTGCAGAAATTCACACACTCCAAAACACACCTACACACACACACACTCACATGCGAGTGAACATTTTAATAATCAATTTGAATTATTCATTGGCTAACGGCGGCAAATAAAATTCGATTAAAACACAACGCCGCTCTGCTTCTGCTTCTTCTTCTGCCTAAACGCCTAGGGTTATTAGCGGCAATTGTGTTTCCCATTTCCAGCCGCCACAACCGCCCAACCATTTCGCCCACGCACTTTTGGCCCCACCGCTTCGGAATCCATTTTCTACATACATTTCCACATTTCCATCCGCATCTTGGGCTTCTAGATGATTTTTTTTTACCACGGTTGAAAAAACATTCATTTATTATGTTCTCACTACAGTACTAACTCGTTAGCGTGCTATTTTGGTTTTTATTGCTCAAGAACCCCCATAAAACCTTTCGCTCTTATCATAATCTTCTTACTATCAGGCTCCAATTTTAGATTTTTATCACGATAGCTTTAAAGTTTTTATCAGGGTTGTCCCAGAGATCTCAAGTTGCATAAATACCTTTAATAAGAGTACATAATATTTAGTTATTTTTGGGTAATTTGTTACCTAATAATATTAATATACTATTTTTTCAAGCACTTTTTCACTCTAAGAATTGTAGTGCCAAACCAAAATTTTTGTGTTGCCTACTTTTAGGTTCTTGTTCTGGTATTAACATTTATGAAAGGAGTTATTTTACTATATATAAATATTATAATAATATAAAATAAAATATATTATAAAATATATTTATTAAATCTTCAAATTGATATAGTTCATTGTTTTCATTGTATTTCCTTGTTGTTGATCTGCTTAGGCAGTCCCCACTGTATCTGATGTGTTTCATTCATAATGCTCATTTGGCGTGGGCAAATTAAACACGAGGAAAAATATGAAACAAGATTCTAGATGTGGAGAAAAATGAGCAAATGCGCACTGGAAGATGTCAGCAAAGCGAGTAACAATTTGTCAAAGTTGCCGACTTTAATCTTTTGTAATGGGCGTCACACGGAGCGGCACCACACGGCACTCCCCCACCTAATTCCTAAACCCCCCCCCCCCCTTAATGGGAAATCTTAAAACCACAATCTGAAAAGCCGCCTTAACAACTTTGGCCCAATGAGCCCACGACGTGAATCCACAAAATACACATGTGTGGGTGTCATTTTTTTTTGTTTGAAGACCCTGTCTTTTTCTGTCGCTGAAGTTAATCGCTTGGCCTCAAGGTTAAAGCCGGCTTCTAGTGCAAATTCAATAGGCAAATGCGCAGATAAATAAAATATAAAGACAAATGGAAAGCATTTAAAGTCGGGTAAATAGACAAAGTAAAGCACTGATGGAGAAATTGAATTTGTCTTGTCCATTATAATAAAGACGCACACAAGTGCCAGACGCCAAAATGGAGCTTTCCCCCCCCCCCCCCAAAAAAAAAGGACGTGCTGTGCATTCAACAAACATTGCATAACACTTGGAATACACATGGAAAAATAATGGGGGACTGGAGACGCAGAGGCAGTCGTAAAGGGAATAAATCGGTGTAGGCGCAGTTACATAAGACTTTTTGCGTAGGCGGCGACGAAAGCAATTTAGGCATGTCTGCCACCCACAGCCACCCACAGCCGCCCCTTTCCCGCCCTTTCACCCCCCCGCTTTTCAAGGACTTTTACTGCACTGGCATGGTGAGCGATGAGCTGGCTCTCTCTCGCTTTCACCCCCACTTTCCCCACTCTTTCTGTCTGCCACTGTCTCTCTGTTTCGCCCAAAAGGGAATGCATAGGATATTGGCAAGAGCGAAGGAAAATGGCAAAAGGCAGCGCGGAAAAAAGATGAAAAAGGAAACTTTTGACACGTGTCTTCTGACTGCCTTGCTTTTATGTCTATACTGAGAGAAAAACTTTATATTTCTGTAATTGTGTCGAGGAGGTAGTTAGTTAGCATTGCGCACATAAAATTCTCAGCACGTAATATCCATAAAAATATTTTCAGCTCTGCTTGCGGCCTTATCGTTAAAATAATCGTAGGTTAATAAAGACCATAGAAATTTTAACCGAAATTTAAAGTAAAGGTCTTACAACAATATTCAAAAATATAAAAACATATTTTGTTACATAAAGTATTTAAAAACATAAATCTCGAATAATTTAATACTGTTATACCACCCAAAAGTAGGCAGTGATATTTTGTAAGCCAACCAAGGCTTTGTAACATTTTTGTTGCATACTTTTGGTAACATTTTTACGAGATTTGAAATGTCTGGAGATTTGTGCATTAAAAGATTTAGTTTTCCTTAAGAATTTCGGCGAGTGCATTTTAGAGACAGACAACCACCCACTTTCCCGCCCATCGGCAGTTGCAAAACTTTTTCTTTTCTTTTTCTTTCCTTTCCCGTATTTTCTTGTTTTTCTTTCTTTTTTTTGTTTTTGGTTTTTTTGCGAAGGGAAAAGTACTTACGGGTACAGAATGTTCCGGCTCGGTTGGCAAAAGTGTTGTTGTTTCTGTTGCTGCTGCTGGGGATACTGTTGCTGTTGTTGCTGCTGCTGCTGCTGCAGAGGCTATAGCTGTCTGATCCGCTGCTGTGGAGCCCGATGTTGATGGTGTTGCTAGTGGCAGGGCCAGAGCCGAATTGGTTTCCAGTCCAGGCCCGATCCCGTTGCCAATCCCAATCCCAATCCCGATCCCAATCCCAGTTCCAATCCCAGACGACAGCACCGCGTTGTTGTTGCTGCGCCGTCGTTGCGACGAGCGACGTTTGTGCCGTATCCTTCGCGTTGTTGCTGCTTCCAATGTTGCTCCTGCTGCTGCTGCTGCTGCTGCCGTTGATGTTGCTGCCGTCGTTGTTGCTGCTAATGTTGCTGTTGCGTTGGCTGAGCGGCGCAGGGCAATCGCGGCCACCAACACACTGCCACAGGCCAGGCACACGGATAAACTAATGGCGATTAGCAACAAGCGACCTAAAACGATTGCCAAGCGGAAAATAAATATTAGTTGTGGGCTCCTCTGTGCATTTATCGGTTTTGCATAGTTAATAAATAAAGTAAAGTCTATTATATAAAGCCAGATTAGTTTTGTATATGTTTTGTAAAGTATTATATATTTTTATTTATAAAAAAGGTATACAAAGATTTTTATATCAGACATTGATATTTTGAATCGTTTAACTTTAAAATCGATATTGTATTATTCATTAAAAATTCTTTGTTTAGCAGTAAAGAAGTTTTTATTTTCGTTATTATTGTTTTTTGATTGTTGTTCATTCCGAAACCCTATTGTTAATTACTTTCTCAGCTGAAATGGCAAACAAAAATCACCTTCAATTGCATTTCCTTCAACTTTTTCTCTAACATTTGATCTCTCATTCACTCAATTGTAACTACAAAATTCGTTCTTAATTTTCGGCTTATTTGTTGTACAATTTAAATAACTTATTCCCACTCACGAACGGTTTTAATTACTATAAATAAACGAAACAAAACGAATGCTACCCACAGCACCGACCAAATAACAATGAAAGAGAAACAAAGTCTAAGAAAAAAGAGCAAAAACCATGAAACTGTCGCTGGGTATACGAGTATTTCGTAGATACTCGCACGAATTTCTAGCCGTATCTACAAGGTGTGCGGCGTTCTCGTTCACTCTCTCGATAATTTCGCCCTGTAGAAAGACCCCGTGCAATGTCTGCGTCTACGGACGGACACACGGGTACGGGTACGGGTATATATGCCTACATAACATATATACGGGCGTCTGCGTCTAGACTAGATAGCAGACGACTTAAGTGATACAAGCACACATGCGCAATCGCGGCGCAGTAAGTGCGAGCGAGCGAGCAAATGTAGGCGGACAGAAGTTCGATAAATAAAAAAAAGCCCACTGAAGGGATTGATTGACACGTGTTGTACCCTGTAAAAGGGGGAAAGGTGGGTATGACTTTGTTTTAGCTTTAGAACCCTAAAGTTGGGATCACAAAAAATGAAACAACGATCTTTGAGATCATTAAATTACCATTTCTTAAGATTATAATAGTCCGATACTTAAATGTAATCTTAAAAAGGATTAAACAAAATCACAAAGAAAAAATGATATAATCCAATCCTTGGAACCTTTGAGTTAGGATCACAAAAACAAACAAATATAATTTTCAACTTTAAATTACCTATCCTTTAAGATTATCTTTAGAACCTTTGAGTTAGGATCACAAAAAACAAACAAATATAGTTTCCAATTATAATTTACCTATCTTTTAAGATTACTATAGCTATTAATAGTATATTATATTTTAAGTAAAAAACTTATAAATGTAATTCCCAAGGGGAATTCCCGAACCCAAAAGAAATATTCCAATATCCGATCTCTTGTTTCGCAGGTGATAGTCAATGCTTGTACTTACAATCATAGATCTTAGTAATACAAGTTCTGTTTTTGTAACCTTACCAGCTTTCACCAAAAAAATCCCCCTGCTATATTTGGTGCTATTTTTAAGTCAGCACTGGCAAAGCCAATCCGCTTCAATTAGTAATGGGTATTATATAGACGATATGGCCGGGCCAGACGGTGCTGATAGAATGGCAGACAGACGGAGGCCACCCGTCGCGGTCGCAGACCCTGTAACGGAGCAAGCTCACAGATACACAGATACACAGATACGGATACCCGCCGACTGGGATACAGATACACGCGAAAAGCTTGCGCAACAAGATTTTACAACTACATATAGTGAACATATCATGACGCTCCGTCTGATATACGATTACAAAAATAACAAACAAACAAAAAAGCAAAAGCCACACCGATCCGCAGCGCAATTTCATCAAGGCGAAAATGACGCAGCTATGTAAACGTCGCCTATCTCTGTCTCTCGCTAATCAACGATCGTTGAATGAAAACATAAATATTTGGGTTTTCATTAGTTTATGATCACTGATGGATGGGGATGGAAAAGAGAAAATGTACATATATTAAGTGGAAAAAAACAAGTAGCCAGCCAGTGAGACAGACATGATCAAATTATATTCAACAAATGCCAGACTGGAGTTAATCAACTGAAATTAAAATGTACGTAGTACGTAGTAGTGAAAAGGCACAAGCAATTAAAATGTGTCAACAATTTCTATGACTCTTTCGCCGCGTCTGACTTCAAGCCAAACGAGACAGGAGAAAAAAAAGAAAAGAAAACTAATATTAACAGGTACCTCTACCTCTACCTACAAACAACAATAAAACAGAAAAACACAACAACAAGTGGCACTTTAGACTTTTGCGCATTCCCAGCCGTTGTCACTCGGATTCAACCGTCTCAGGTGACTCAACCTGGCTGGCTGTCATTTGCTTTCGGTCTGCCTTTTATGGCCTTTGTTTTCTGATAATTATTTTTGCCTGCTCAGCTACCCTGTACCACGAACTGTGGAGCGTGACAAAAGCTGATATCTACGGAAATGACGTTGTTACTTCGGTTTTTTCCCCGAAAAAGTTTAACCCAAATATTATCGCCAAGGTCAAAGACATGAGCTTGATTTATTATTTCAATAATGTATTCAGTCATAATATGGCAATTTCGGAAGTTTCCTATCTTTCTAGTCATTTCAAGATTTAATGTTGCTGTTTCTAAGAGCCTTAGGAAGTTTCCATTTATAGTTCGATAAAAGTTTAAATAGTCAGTGGTATTAAAGCCGGTTTCATTAGACTCAGAGGGTATTGTGCGTTCGTTTGATCACTACCCAGTTTGATCGTTATTTTGTATTTTTTAATTGTGCCGCTCGTTTCAGCTTGTTGCAATTATTTTTATCGCAGGTGAAATGATTGAGCACGTCTGGGGACTTCGTTTACGTCTGGAGCCGCCGTACAAACATGCATAAAAATATATATATTTATATGTAGAGACAAATCACCTGATACCCTATAAAAGCACGCCGAGAAAGAGAAAGGAATACCTGGCAACAGTTCAACTGTCTGCCGGTTTCCATTTGATTGAACCTCTGACGCACGTGTGCCCGCCAACTATTAAAAAAGTGCTAAAATAATTGAGCGAATACAGATTCAATATTTGAATTGATCACACCAGACGCAAATCGGCGAACGCCAGACCCCAGACCACAGACCCCATACATCACATATCCCATGCCATACATCCCATGCAAGCGTTAGAGCTCACACCCGGCCAAACCACATCAAATCGGACCAGCCAGACCAGACGGATCAGACAGTTGGCTAACACTTTCAGAGATCGAGATCCATAGCCGCGACCAAACGGCTTTCATGGCTATTTTTATAGTGGAACGGACATTGAACGGACAGTGGGCAAGCTTACAAAACTTTGTGGGGGAACTTGTTTCGATCTCTCTCTCTCCATCTAGGTTCCTTGACCGACCGAGATAATGTACTCTATATAATCAAATCTCCTGTCCTTTCATTTCGGTGTCACCGCAATGACAATTGCATTTGATTGAGTGCGCGTTTTAAGATCACTTTCGATCAACTTTCCTTCTTGCTCTGGAGCACAACAAAAGTTATCAATTTAATGATTATGATCAACGCGCTAATGACATTCAAGTGCAGCACTTGATGCCCACCCCCCACCAAAAAAAAAATACATAAAAATAATAATAACCCCACAAAGCCCGGTACAGTGGGCCGAAAAAAAACATTTGAAGGCAATGCCATTGACACCTTGATTGGATGTCAAGGTTGTGCGAGGATCGTCGCATTCTCTGCTCGCACATAAACTAACTAAAGGCATTATCATAAGCTTTAACAACTATAATACATTGAGGTGACATTGAACTTGAAAAATCCAGTTGAATGGTGTACCTTTGTTGCTTGAAGTTTAGATTTTCTCCGCATTTTGTGTGATATATTGATGCAATTTAAGTGCGATTTATAGCATTGGATTAAACGGGAACTCTAAGTTTTTAACTAACTTTTTAGAAGAGACAACAAAATCAAAAACAAATTTGAATAATTTTTGATGATATGGAAAATTTTATTCCTAGAATGAAATCGTAAAAGTAGAACTAATCATTGAAATCCAAACTGGTTTCAAACTTATCAAAAATGTAAACAAAAATATTATCATAAACATTTTAGGATGATTCCAATCTTGTATAGATAGATTTCAGTTTAGATTTTATTCATCGTCTTGTGTAATATTTTGTGTAGCCTTGATTCAAGAGGGATTTCTACATCCCTTATATAGGAAGCACAAGCAGCCGCATCATCAGCTGACGTCAGTTTCGTCTGCAAACGGTTCTCTATTTATGTTTATTTTAGCTGATTCTATTTTTCTGGCAACAATTTTTGTCTAGTTTGTGCAAAATATTACAATGTTGTCTGGCGCGGAAGATGAAAAGTCGGAATGCCCGCTCTTTAGCCACCTACCGTCAGCGTTTTTACCCCTTTTTCGATTCCCCTGTGGAGAGGCCAACCCTTTTTTTCACATTTTTTCCCATTTTTTTTTTGTTTGCAACTAGACTGCGCACGGCAACAGACGGAAAAGCGGGCAAAACGAGAGGCAGTGGCTGGGAAAATGCAAATGAATGAGCTAAATGCAAAGAAGCAAACGCAGAGGGAAAAATAAAAACTGAAACAAACCGCAGACAGAGAAAACAGCGACGTCGACCTCGCCCAGGCAGCAGCGTTTTCCCATCATCATGATGATGATGTGATGATGATGATGAGGATGATGAGGATGTCGTTTGACCTTTAAGCGAAGCGAGTGCATTCCACCAACAACAACCTGGCGGAGAGAATCCCATTTTGATTTTATTTTTATTTTTTACTTCCTTTTTGGCGTCTGTCTGGGCCTGGTCTTTGGTTTATTTTTACATTTTACACTGCATTTTTTTTCATAATTTGCAAACGCATTTAATTAATGGGAAATCACGTGGCAAATTGTGCAAACACCTCGTATGCGCAATAATTCAGCGGTTACGTATACGCAGTGTGTTTGCGATTTCAT